AGCCAGCTCTGCCAATACCTTGGTTTTTGGTTTTGATCCACTGAAAGTTTTTCATTCCTTGAGGTCCAAAACTGTAAGATAATAAATTGGTGTTGTTTTAAGCCACTGAAATTTGTGGTGATTCATTGGAACAGCAATAGGAAGCTAATGCAGCTACTATGCTAGTTATAGGTTTTTATGGTCAGCAGCCCTTCCCCAGAATCCATGAAGGAATCAGCTTCAGTAATAATCTCCTTCAGTGGTCCTGCTTTATGGCACTTATTGCTTTATTGCTTAATCTTTCTCTCTTTCTAAATGAAGATTTTTCAGAGGTAATCTTTACATCTAATACATACTTAAAGTAGCCATTCAGAGTTGACTATTGGGTCAGAAACCTTAGAGATATTAAGAAGACCTCATTTTCCTTCAGGCGCAGCTTAAAGGGGATAGCTGGAGGGATGAGTGTCACATTTCAGTGCCCACTCTCTGTCTGTTACCGAGTTAGGCATTTCTGTTATTCATTTTGGTGCTCATCATACTCGACCCTCCCTATAAAGAATAATTGATTATTACTTCTGCCTCGACAATTATGAACTGGGAAGTAATGTGCTCAGAATCAGAAAACCAGTAAATGAGATAAAATTCAGGCTTGTCTAATGCCAAAGTGTATACATTGTCCTATATTGCTATCTATCTATCTATCTATCTATCTATCTATCTATATGTCCTATATGTCAGAATTGCTACTCTAAACTAATCCTAGGGAGGAGTTCAGATCTGGGCCAGGGCATGTCCAAAGGGTTTCCTTAGTTTTAAAGAGTCATCAGGAAGAACATACCACTTCTAGATCACCCCTGACCTGATGCACATTGTGTAGGTTGGTCAGGTTTCTGAACTGCCCTGGAGACCTAGATTCTTCCTGCATGACTCTGGAGATGGACTTAGTTCTGTGTTCACCTGGGTTTTCTCTATTCTTGTGTATAACAGTTAAGACCAAATCATTAACACAACCTCTAAAACTAATTTAAAAGCAATTCTCTAGACTGAAAATCTAGCACCTGTAGTGAACACGCACGTACAGTTTTTTGTGTTCCTGTGTGCCATAGTAAATATAAAAAACAAAAAATGGGAATCATAATGAAAATATGAGATTAAACCAGCCAGTGTGTAACAGAGTAGCAAGCAGAAGATCCCGAAGTTATCATTAGATTTCCACAATGGTATTTGATTACAGTATGATTAAGGACCACAATTTTGTTTAAGAACCCATTTGGACCATAGGAGAGGCATTTGCTTTTATTCCTTTCCATCCTCCTTCTCCTCCTGCCTCTCTTTTTTCTCTCTCTTCCTTCTTTCACCTTCCCTTCCCTCTCCACTTCTTCACAAGCAATTTGTAGCTTATGAGTTTTAAAAAATATTTTCTTAGAACTTGAAAATAATTTTTAAGTATACTAGTAGGTATAGAAAATAGAAGTCTATTCCTAACTGAAATTCTTTAGAGATAGTGATCTAATTACAAGTATACCTAAATGTAGGTGGTTCCCTATTTCAGAAGTTGAACTAGGAAACTGTTGATGTATACAGATGGTTATTTGATATCTGAATTATTTTACTACTAGATCAGGAGTCCAAAACCTTTTTCTGTAAAAAGTCAGATAGTAAATATTTTAGGCTTTGGCTGACTATAAGGTTTTCATCACAGTTACTAAGCTCTGCCATCATCGCATGAAAGCAACCAGTTGATGACACATAAACAAGGGAGTGTGGCTCTGCTCCAGTAAAAACTTCACTCATAGAAACTGAAATTTGAATTTCACATATTTGTCACACATCATGAAACATTTTAATTTTGACTTTTTCTTTCCCCTAACCGTTTAAAAATGTGAAACCTGTTCTTAGCTTACAGGTTACAGGGAATGGGTGGCAGGTCAAATTCAGTCAGTACATTGCTGACTCTGAACTAGATGACCTATTAGACAGTAGCATGTTTATTCTTATATTTGCATTACCATTCTATTTTTCTCAAATATAGCACCGGATTCATAATCTATAAATTCAGATCTCTGGAGTATTGTAATTTGAAAGAACTTGATAAAAATTACATGTGCCGTAAGGACTTATATAACATGTGATTCTCGGTTGCCAGCTCAACGGTTGTCGATTCTTTGTGGACAGAACTCTTAGTTGAGATTGTGTTCAGGTTCCTGGTGGTCAAGTTCTTCAGGGAAGGTGCTTTCTTCCTTCAACTTCAGGGGGTGGGTGTAGGCAAATCTTAATTGGTTTGATCCCATTTTAGTTCCATTGCCCTTGCAGTGGTTAATTTGGAAATGACAGCTTGGACAGTAAGATAGCACATTGGGGATAATTTAATTGCATGCAATAGACTGAGCTTGGATAGGAAAATGAGTTTTTGACAACTGGAATTAAAATTAAAGTACCTAATAAATACTTTCAGCTTTACTTCATGTTGTACTGGCTTGTACAGATTACTATATTGACCAACATGTTTCAAGAAAATAATTGTTTATATAAGATGGAATTTTAAAAATTTATTAAAGTTTTCTGAATTCAAGTATAGGAAATTTTTTCTTATACCAACATAAAATTATAAACTTTTCTGGTAGATGCTGTTGTTTATTATATTTTTTTTGTTATACATTTTTTTCCATTTATGAAGTAGAAAAACAGTAACCCTATGCCAATAACCACAGAAGTTTTTTTTAAATTTTACTTGTCCATGATAATCTGAAACCCTGGATATTACAGACCTTGGTGCATGCTCACTATTCTCCATTCCTACCACCTTCTTCTTGATTACTTACAGCCTGGCTTTGGGCCTAACCTCTTGGTTGGACTGCTTTCTAGATTGTTACTGTTGATTTTATGGTCTCTGTATACCCCCTTTTAAAAACCAAATACCTTTTTTGACATTTCTGTATGTTTAATTCTTTTGCCCATTCCATCTCTGAAATCGTCTTTCCTAGTATTTGCTGGGATTCTGTGTCTGTGGCACCTCAGCGACCATTATCAGTCTCCTCTGCTGCTTTCATTTTGGTCCTCTCTATTTCTTGGTTGTGACTCTTGTTAAAAAAAAAAACACAGTGTTTATGATGCCTTGAATAGTAGGCATGAGAACGACTTAGCCATAAATAGAAGCTGCACGTTGCTAAGTAGACACTATTTAGTAGAGACTGTCTTTTGATATAAAGCTAGGCTTATAATTAATATTAAACAGTTTTTTAATTGGCAACAATTGAGTTTTTTTAAAGTACACACATGTATTTAATGCATTAGATTGTTTTGTGTTCCTCTGTAAACTGTTTCTTTATGAATGTTTTGATTCCAGTTGTGTGCGTATTTTTTTTCTAAAGAAAATGCTATACGAGCATCGTTATGCCTACATCTTAGCACATACTCTGAGTATATCCATCGTATAAATTCTTAATGGTAAAATTGTTAAATTATGGTGTATATGCATTGAAAAGTGTAATAGGCATTGCTGAATAACCTTTCTGAAAGCTTGTATCAGTTTGCACTTTTATCAACATTATGAGTACCACTTTCTCCATATCCCCTCCAACAACAAACACAATGCTTGTTGATCTAATGGATGAAAAATATTTTCTTTACATTTTAATTTATTTTAATTATAAGTAAGGTTGAGCATCGTTTCTATCAGTAATTTTCAACTGGGAGCAATTTACCCCTGTGCCCAGGGGATATTTGATACTGTCTGGAATTGGGGGGGCTGTTAAAACTGGAAATAGGTCTGGGAAGAGGATTCTCCTGGCATGCAGCTAAACATCCTACAATGCACACTGCTAAACATCCTACAGTGCACGCAGTGAAGTATTATCCAGCCCTAAATAGCAGTAGCACCAAGGTTGAGAAACTCTGCTTAATATTATTCCATTTCTTCTTCTTTTTTGATTTGTTATCTGTAATTCTTGAGTTATTGTTTGCTTTAGAGTTTATAGTATACATTTTTGGAGTTAAACTTTGAGTAGTATTTTACTGTTTCCTATATGGTATAAATACCTTGCTATAGTAAATTTCCATTTTTCTCTTCCTGGCCTTTGTGCTATTGTTTTAATACATTTTACTTCTATATATGTTATAGACCCCACCGTATATTATTATTATTTTACTTTAAATAGTAGATTACATTTTTTAAACAGCTTTAATGAATTTTAATACATTCTATGTGTATGCGTGCTCAGTCAGGTCTGACTTTTGTGACCCCGTGGACTGTAACCCACCAGACTCCTCTGTCCATGGCATTCTCCAGGCAAGACTACTGGAGTGGGTTGCCATTTCCTTTTCCAGGGGATCTTCCCAACCCAGGGATTGAACCCATGTCTCTGGTGTCTCCTGCATTGGCAGGCAGATTCTTTACCACTGGCGCCACCTGGGAAGCCCTATAATTTGCATTAGATTGCACATATTTCAAATATACAATTTGATAAGTTTTGACATGTATATACTTGTGAAACCATCACCATCAAAATAATGAACGTATTTATCATCCTCTAAACTTTTCTCCAGTCCCTTGGTAATCCCTCCCCAGCCCCAGGCAACCAGTGATCTGCTATCTGTCACTGTAGGTAAGTTTACATTTTTTTTGATGTTATATAAATGGAATCACAAATTATGTACCTTTTTTGTCTGTTGTCTTTCATCCAGCATAATTATTTTGAGATTTATCCACGTGGTGTGTGTATCATTAGGAAAACATTCTTAATGACATATATTCCAGGTAATTGAATTGCTGTTATTAACAAGCACACTGAATTCTAAAGTCACTTGATGTGTTCTTTGTTTTAGGTCATGACCATCCAAGGTGTGATAATCACATGAGAGCACTCTGCTCCTGATGTCATTTGTCTCATCAAACAAAAATCTGTTTAAAAGTAAATATCCCTTTGACCAGAACCTTTCTTTATTCAATGGCTTGATGGATTTCCTTTACTCTGATTCAAACCAAAGCTATCCTTCTCAACCAAAACAAAAAAGGACCTTGCATGAGTCAATCCCAGGATGCCACTTTTACAGCACCGATGGGTGAAGAAAACCTCATGAATATCAATCACAGAGACTCAGAGAGCATCACTGGTGAGTCCATTTTAATAAATAAAGTGCTCTTGCCTACAGGACAAAATGCATTTAAGACCCACCATGATTAAACTCAGCCTCTCTCTCCAGCCTCATCTTCTGAGAGACCTCTGAATTAATCTCTCCGTCCTCAGGTCTCCTATCGCAATGGTCCCCAGCCTTTTTGGTCCACAACTGGTTTCATGGAAGACAGTTTTTCCACGGATTGGGGCAGGTGTAGGGGGTGGTTTCTGGATGATTCAAGCATGTTACATTTATTGTGCACTTTATTTCTATGAATATTATATCAGCTCCTCCTCAGATCTTCAGGCATTAGATCCCAGAGGTTGGGGATCCCTTATCAAAATCTGCCTTGGGTGTTGATTCTTGTCTATGTCTGACTCCCTATATCTGTGAGCCCTGATCAGTAGAAACTGCGTCATACTCATCTTCCTTATCTTATCTTCCTATTCCCGTCTTCCTATCTCCGAAAAGACAGAATTGCTACCTATACCCTGCAGTCACTTAACAACAGTATCTGGCACATAAGGCTCTCAGGACATATAAGTTTGCAAAACAGGTACAACCCTGTAAGTTCTCAACTGCAAGACTAAATTTTAAAAACTCTGTATACCCAATTTTTTTCCTAAACTTTGTTTCTACAACTCATTGGTCCACAAACCCTGACCTGTCCAGTTATTTCTAGATTTATCCCACTTTGTTTGAATGTTTGTTTGCCGAAAAATGTATTAATGTGTTTAAATATGGGATACTGCTACAAAACCAGTTGGAGGTGTTATATAACATACAGTAAATGCACAGGACTGCTTTTCTGAAACTCCATAAAATTCTGAAACGCATCTAAATCTGTAGGGGTTTTTTCCTGTTATTTATTCACCAGTACTGAGATATGTGTATTAAGATGTACCCATTTTAAGTGAAGAGTTTGATTTTGACAAATATGTACACTCATGTAACCACCAGTATAATCAAGTTGTAAGATATTTTTATTATCCCCCCAAAGTTCCCTCATATCCAGATCTCTCCAGCCCTCAACTGCTAACTCCAGACAATGTGCTTTTTGTTACTATGGTAACAGAAAAAATCTGCTTGTTTTGGAAGGTCATATAAATTAATCTGTCTTTTGTGTCTGGATTTTTTATGCAGCAAAGTGCTTTTGAGATTTATCAACATTGTGGTATGTGTCAGCAGTTCATTTGTTTTTATTGCCAAGTTACAACTACTCAACTCTGCTGTTATAGCAGTAAAGATGTCATAGATGATACATAAAGGAACATATATAATTGTTTCAATAAAACTTAATTTATAAAGCCAAGCAGAGGCAGTAGGCTAGAGTTGGCCTCTGGGCCATAGTTTCCTGACCTCTTCACAACAACATAACACGTGGTAACATCAGTGTTTTTGTTTTAACCATTCTAGTGGGCGTGTATCTGGTATCTCTGTGTGATTTCAGTTTCTTTTTCCCTGAAGACTAATGATTTTCAGTTTCTTCTTGTGCTTATCAGCTCTTTTTAGGTACTTGGAGTTTTCTATTTAAATCATTTGCTCATTTTTATATTTGTCCTACTATTGAATTATAAATGTTCTTTATATATTCTATGTAAATTCTTTGTTAGGTAAAGGGCTACAAATATTTTCTTCCAGACTGTGATTTGCCTTTTCATCTACTTAATGGTGTCCTTTGAAGAGCAAAAGTTTAAAATTTTGGTGGAGCCCAGTTTATCAAGTTTTGCTTTTATAGTTCATATTTTTTGTGTCATTTCTAAGAAATATTTGCATAGTTCAGAATCACAAAGATATCTCTTCAGTTTACCTTTAAGAGTTTTACAGCTTTTGCTTTTACATTTAGGTTAACTGTCCATTTTATAATTAATTTTGAATATATAATCAAGTTAGGGTACAGATTTTTTCACCAGTTAAATATTTAATTGTTCCTGCACCATTTGTTGAAAGCATTATCTTTTATGCTGTTGAATTACTTTGGTAATTTCATTGAAAAATCATTTGATTTTTATACATGTGGGTCTATTTCTGAACTCTCCATTCTGTTTCTTTAATCCCTAAGTCTATCTTTACATAAATGCTACAATGTTTTGATTACTATAACTCTATAGTAAACCATTTTATTATTACTTTAATTTGTTTCTTTTCTTTCTTTTTACTTAAACTTTTATACAAATGACCCAATGCTAATTGTTATTTTTTGGAATTTAAGAAGTTATTAACAACTGAAAAGACAACACAGTGTTAGTACAATCTGGATTTTAAAAGCATTAATTTGGATTGGTCCTGTACAGAAATCTATAGTAAATTTTGAAATCAGGTAGTATACATTCTCCAACTTTGCTCTTCTTTTTAAAAACTTATTTTGGCCTTTCTTGACCTCTCACATTTCTATATAAATTTTAAAACCAGTTTGTAAGTTTCAGCCAAAAAAGAGTGATGGAATTTTGAATGGAATGATACACACTTGATAGAGAATTGACATCTTAAGACTGTTAAGTCATCTAACCCTCCATTTATTTAGGTCTTCTTTAGTTTCTCTAAATAGTACTTGCAATTTTTGTTACACAGGTCTTGCACATACTTTATTAAATTTAATCCTACATTGGTTTTTTTTTTCCTTCTACTATGAATAACATCGTTTATTCAATTTTATTTTCCAGGTGTTATTACTAGTATGTAGAAATGAAATTTATATATTGACTTTGTATTCTGCAACTTTGCTTAACTTAGTTTTACTAACTTTGTCTACATAAGTCACTGGTGCTCTGGGTTTTTTTCCTAGTCTTTTTTCATTTGAGATAGTTACCATTGCTGTGCCTTCAAGTCTACTTTTCTTTTCTTCTGGAGCATGTCTAATGTGTTAATGTTATCCAGTGAATTTTTAATTTAGATATTGTACTCTAGTTCTGGGGGGCTTCCCTGGTGGCCCAGACCATAAAGCATGTGCCTACAATGCAGGACACCTGGGTTCAATCCCTGGGTTGGGAAGATCTCCTGGAGAAGGAAATGGCAACCCACTCCAGTATTCTTGCCTGGAGAATCCCACGGACGGAGGAACCTGGTGGGCTACATGGGGTGGCAGAGTCCACGACTGAGGGACTTCACTTTCTTTCACTCTAGTTCTATTTGAATTTTAGAAGTATAAGTATACTTTTTGTTTCTCTTTTCATCAAATTTAAGTTTTCCTCTTAAATCTTTGAGCATATTTAAAATGGCTTTCTAAAAATTTATCTTTACAAATTTTATCATTTTTGTCATTATTGGGCTTGTTTCTGTTGATTTATTTTCCAACTGGTAATGGGTTACAAATTGCTTATTCTTTGCATTTCTAGTAACTTGTTATCAAATATTTTGAATGTTACATTGATGTTTGAATTTTGTTGTCTTATTTGGAAAACTGTTATTTTGGCAGGTCCTTAAATTACTTGCTGATAAGATCAGTTCTGTTGAGTCTTGTTTTTAATCTTTGCTATCTGAGTTTGTAGATCACAAGGCCATATTCCATTATGCTTTATTCTAGCATTAATTTAATTCTACTAGTAGCAAGCACAACCCTTCTAGGATCTTTTGATTGTCTCAACTTTTCATTTTCTTGGGCTCCAGAATCACTGTGGACAGTGACTGCAGCCATGAAATTAAAAGATGCTTGCTCCTTGGAAGAAAAGCTATAGGAAACATAGGCAGCATATTTAAAAAGCAGAGAAATTACTTTGCTGACAAAGGTCTATCTAGTCAAAGCTATGGTTTTTCTAGTAGTCATGTATGGATGTGAGAGCTGGACCATAAAGAAGTCTGAGCACTGAAGAATTGATGCTTTTGGACTGTGGTGTTGGAGAAGACTCTGAAGAGTTCCTTGGACTGCAAGGAGATCAAACCAGTCCATCCTAAAGGAAATCATTCCTGAATATTCATTGGAAGACTGATGCTGAAGTGCCAATACTTTGGCCACCTGATGTGAAGAGCTGACTCATTGGAAAAGACCCTGATGCTTGGAAAGACTGAAGGTGGGGGGAGAAGGGGGCGACAGAGGATGAGATGGTTGGATGGCATCATCAACTCAAAGGACATGACTTTGAGCAAACTCCGGGAGATGGTGAAGGACAGGGAAGCCTGGCATGCTGCAGTCCATGGGGTTGCAAAGAGTTGGACATGATTGAGCAACTGAACAACAACACTGTTCATTAGGTTTTTACACTCTGGCTAGATGAAATTCAAGCCTTTCTTAGCTTTGCATAGGAGAGTAACATAAGAAAGATATGAAGATGTGGAGGAAAATATGAATGTAATGAGAACAGATCACTTTGAGGCCATATTCAAGAGAAACAAGAGGAGACCTTGAATCTAAATGAGGCAGTGTGGCTAGAAAGAAGTGAACACAAGAAAAGAACATTTGGAGGATAAAAATGTTAGGACTGGACAATTAGAAAATCACTAAATACTACATTATCAGAAATACAGAAGCAAATAGGAGGCGCTAGTCTGAAGGATATTATTCGAATCTACTAAACCTTGAGTGTATACTCATTTTGGAAGTAGGCAACTGGTAATCATGAATTTTCACAGAATTTCATTAATGCTTATTAAAAGAAAATTTATATGGAATAGTAGTTACTTTAATGGATTTTAATTTTGCTCATCATTTGCATTATACCCTTGAGTGTCTCAGAGTTTGTTTTCAGCTCTGCATGTATTGATAGTCAACTTCTCCTCCTGCACATATTGTAACAATAATAATATGTATGTCATATATTCATGGCAGGAAAAATTTGAATAGTCACATAGAATTCATAGTAATATTATTTGGATGTATTTTTGGAGTTCTTATTTAAGCGATCTGCTAAGGGTTGAGAGGAGCTTCTTCAGACCCACATTTAAGGTTTTAAATGTACCTCATATCTGTGATTATGTACCTCATGTTTTGGTTATGAAGCCACTGCTTGTCTTTCTATATGGATAGGATTTTCTAATATGGTCAGCCCCCTCATATTTGATTAATGTCAGCCTCCTCATTTTTGAATTAAAGTCAAGTAGTTGAAATTTACTTTTTTAAGGTACATTTTCTTAAAATAAACTTGTTGTTCTTTGCCAGAGTTAGAACATGTTTCTCTGTGCCACCCACAAAGGAAATACCTGATGTCTTTAAAAAAGGAGAGGGTTGAAATGACATCCTGTATTTTCTGTATTTTAAGCCCTAGTATTTTAAGCATATTAAAAAGGGTAACTTTTTTTTGTAAACTGCTAAATATGGAAGGTGTTAAATGATGAGCAGCATTTGGAATAAGAAACCAGGAGCAAACACATAAAGATAGAGAAGCCTAAGTGTGTTCAGAGAAGTGTATGCAGAGACAGTTAGAGGTGTGCAGGTGAGAGTAGTGATGTAAAAGATATTCAAGACTTTAAATGTATCACATCTTTAAAGTAAAAGTGATCACGTACTTATTCTAGTACCAATGTAGGACACTGTGCTGGAATGTTAACATTACTGTTTAACATTTAACCAATAAATATTGATTTTTTTTATATCTAACTTCTGGGAGGATATAGTAAAATGTAACTTTTCCATATTTTGAAGAATCCTCCACAGAGGTCAAATTCTATTAATGAAGAACATATCGTTTTATTCCTTTTGAACTCACTATTTTCTGCTGGTTGTCTTGTTGCCTTTTTTCCCTGAAGCGTATGAGTTATTTGAGATCACATGTCCTTTAAGCGGCACTAAATAGATTGATAAGGAGGAAATAAGAAAATCTAAACTTAAAGACGTAGTTATATTCCCTAAGCAATATATTTTAAATAGAGTATAATTAAAAGTCATGGTATTGTTTCTATTGTGGAAGTTCTTATATTAAAGAAACCTAGAGAAAGACCACCTGGAATTCCAGGATACAGCGATAAAAACCATTGGCGACATGATCTTGACTAATGTTTCTTGATTGTCTTACTTTCACAGAACTAATTTCACTGATTTTTCTCTGTAGCCTAGTAAATTGGAATATATTGGATTCATTTACATGGAATCTTCTCCTCAGATGTCTGCTCCAATGAAGATGTCCCTGAAGTTGAGCTTGTGAGCCTGCTAGAAGACCAACTACCCCAGTATAAGCTCAGGGTGGACTCTCTCTTTCTTTATGAAAATCAAGATTGGACTCAGTCCCCACACCAGCAGCAACATGCATCAGACACCCTCTCTCCAGTACTTGCTGAAGAGACTTTCCGTTATATGAGTGAGTATTTGAATTTATCTGTTGAACTAAAGATCATGAGTATCTTGTTGACTTTTACAATATTTGACATCCCTAAATGTTGTTTAGTTTGTACCTACTTTTAACTCAAACTTCTTTAACAACATGAAGAGATGACTCTAATTGTGTTGTGTCTGAATGCAGAAAGTTTATCGTTTTTAAGAATCTGAGTGTCCAGGGTTGTGAGCATACCCAGAGGTTTCCAATTCTCTCCTCTTTTTCTTCACACTTTCCTCAGACTGAGTAGAAAGGGAAACATTTTTTTAAAAAGTAGTGAACGTGTTTAAATTTTTAATATCCCTTTATATTTGTTATCTTAACAGTTTAATATTTAGTCCGTTGAACTGACATAGTCACAGGAACTTGTCAAGTCATTAAGAAACATAGTTCTTGGATACATAAGTGGTTTTAATAATGCCAAGGAGAAATACATGCACACTCTATAGTCATCTTCATTATTTACATAAAGATTCAGAGAGAATATTTCAGTGAGAAACTAAGTCAGATATGTCCTAAATATAGATCTGTTTTATCCCAAACTCTTAAAAAATGACAAAATTAAATAGAACTCTATATTTTAAAGTTTAAAGAGTGATCTTTTTTGTTGTTGTTTTTTACCTTATTCCAAAAATCTGCATTCAGGCTAAGCTTACCTTTTTTAATGTGTTCACTATAAAGATGTTGTATGCATAATAGCTATTAGAATACATAGTAAGTCTCTGAGCTCAATATTGATATATTTATAAAACTATTTTCATTTGAATTATATATGAGATTGTGTCAGCTCTTAGATATTTGCCCAGTGAGTGTTTCCATGTTTTTAAAGATTCTAGCTGGAGAATGATTGTTGTGAAATCCTCATTTTCATAGTAATCATTAACTTTTAATGGTACTTTCCTACAACCAGGTTACTTACTGCTCAGAAAAAGAATTGTAAATTTTGTTTAAACTTGAATTAGGAACGCAAATAAAACTGTTTCTGTACAGTTTATTCTATTAAGTAGCTGCATATTAAATTAGGGCTCTTAAGGTTTTCTTAACTTTTTAGTTTGAGAAATTACTTACTTGAGATTTCTGGAAAATGCTTTTTAAAAGGCACATTTTTAGATTCCATTTTCCTTTGTTCCATGAGTTTTTAGATTTGTGAGAAAATTTCAAACTGAGATTTTGTCAGGATAAATTTAGTTTGTCATTATTTTCATAAAGTGGTACAGAAAGTGCATGTAGTTTACGTGTTCTTTGTTCTGCACATCATTAGAGGGGGCCAGGAGGGGAGACTAGCTAGAAAGATGTTTTAAGTTATGATTTAATGGAGTTGTTGTTAGGATGAATTTTACATAAAAAGACTAGAAAATAAAAGGTAAACAGATTCTAAAATACTTGGTTTATAGGTAAACAATAGTGTAATTAAAACTAGAGGTTAATAGGATGTTACAAGATCCATACTTCCAGGATCTAGAAAACTGTCCTATTCCTTTCATCTAATGGTACTATTTTCACTTCAACAATTTGAAAATTAAACTGCATATGATTTACTAAGATCATGAAGCAAATAATTAGGATTATCATTGGTTCACTAATACTTTTTCTGTGTAACTGCATGCTTAGTTGCTAAGTCATATCCGACTCTCTGCAATCCCATGGGCTGTAGCCCACCAGGCTTCTCTCTCTGTGGGATTTACCAAAGTAGGTTGCCATTTTCTCCTTCAGGCGGTCTTCCCAACCCAGAAACTGAACCTGTGTTTCCTGCATCTCCTGCATTGCCAGGGAGATTCTTTTTAATCACTGAACCACCTGGGAAGCCCACTTTTTCTCTATATTTTACTTTAATTTCACTGTTATTTTAAAGTTATCAATTCTTTGGGTTAACAGTTCACACAAATATAATAGACTTCATTATGAATTTGTATCTTATGAATGTAAAAGATTTACTTTATTTAGCACATTGACCAAGGTCTTAAAAAGCATGATACAAACAATTCTGTCACCTTTTTCCACTGTTTTCTGTCCCCCTGAAATGTCAAGATTTTTTGGTTTTGGATATTTACTATGGACACTGGCAAGCGATCCTAGGATTCAGCTCGCTGGTTCTATTTCAGCCCCTTCTTATCCCTAGTTCCCTACATGGCAGTAGACACATGCTCACTAAAATGAATTATGACAACTAATAAAAGAGGTGCCAAACAGAGGCACTTTCTTTCTTAGTTCACACAAAGAAGTTCAAAGTACCATAAGAAGAAAATGATGAAATTTGGAAGGAAACGGGCAAAAGTTTTGTGATAGGAACCTGTCTCACATGAATAAAAGGATACTGGTTGTTCTCCAAAGCCCCTTCCAAACCAGAAAGAGAATGCTTTCATGTGTTTTAAAAGTAAGCAATGGATGGGTCCAGAAAAATAATTCCCTCCTAGTCCCTGCCATGGGCTTCCCTGGTGGCTTAGTGGTAAAGAATCCGTATGCAATGCAGGAGACACAGGAGATGCAGGTTGGATCCTTTGGTTGGGAAGATCCCCTGGAGAAGGACAGCTCACTCCAGTATTCATGCCTGAAGAACCCATAGACAGAGAAGCCTGGTGGGCTGGGTCCACGGGGTAACAAGCAGTCGGACATGACTGAGCGACGGAGCACACAGGCAGCCCCTGCCATGCACACACAGTTTAAGATACTCAAAGAATGTTTTGCTTGCAGGGTTTTCTCATTTTATTAAGAGAGTCCCACAGTGACATGTGGGACAAGCAGTGTAGTCACACCGTGACAGAAAGTACCATTTGTTCATGTGAAGGCTCAAAGTAGAAACCTGATCTGCTTTTCGGGGTATTTTTTATTTGGGAATAAAAGATCACCTTACCACTTCCTAATGCATAAGGAAAGGGGGGGATGGTTATATAAGTTTATTTAAGGCATCAACATCACTTGGTACTTATTAAAAACACAGATCCTGTGTCCCCATCCCAGATCTACTGATTCAGAAACTCTGGGGGTGGGGCCTACTCTGTTTAAATTAAATAAGTCCTCCTGCTGGTGCTGATGCACACAGATTTGAGAACCAGAGATCTGAAGCAGTGTCACCAAAACCGGCCACTTCACAGTGACATTAATTGGAGAAGTTGGGAAACTAGGGAGGGTGCAGAATTTTGCAGAGAAGTACCGTTTTAGAGATTATTACTTCTGGTTGGTAGTTATACTTTTCCTCAAGCTCTGCCCTTGAAACTCATTAACCTTTACCTGCAGGAAGGAAATACAACAGGTAATTCTCAGGAAACAATAACCATAAATCTAGTTGTAGAGCCTAGCGGATTTATAATTCCTTTTGACCAGTTCGATGGAAGAATTAAGTCATATGCTCTAAGACATCTATTGTAGAATGAGTTACCTTATCACTTATACATCATGTCCTATCTAGGTATTATTAGTGAGAAAATTGTCTCTCAAATCATTATCTATGGGGTTTAATTCTCTCCTGGAACCCTGTTGAGAAAGTCTGTCCTAGATGATATGTATGATCAGCTTCCTTTTTGTTCCATCTCAGTTCTTTTGAAGGCAGTTTTTTGTATTGCAGAAATGTTCTCTGTATTATAGTAGCAAAAAACACTTCTCTGGAGTTAAAACCTCAAAACCTGTCTGTAGTTATCAGGAGCTATTCCCGCTTTTACCCTGTCACGGAGGAAGTGTTTGGGTTTCGTTTTGTTTTTTGTTTTTGTTTTTTCATGTGGAAGAATTGGAGAGTGATGAAAGATCAGATATCTTTTAAAAATTAAATAACTGCGCTAAAAGCTCTACACCTTGAAAAAGGACATTTGAGAGAACTATTCAGGCACCATCTCATGTAAATAACAGGGATATCAAAATGGGTCAACGTTTGCATTTTCCATCCTGAAAATGATTGGGGGGAGTTGGTGTAAAATTACGTTTTATAAAGTAAGAATCAGTGAAGAAAAAGAATTAGTGAAGAAAAAGCATCTCCCCCATGTTTTTTCAGGAACATTAGATTCTCCAAATATTAAACAAAAATACTGGACATTAATTAACAACCTTTGTAAACCAAAGCTGTTCTGTAAAAATGTTTGTTGTCTCTCTAATGAATAATTCTTCCTTAGAGTTAGAAAGTTCGTGTCTGGAAACAAGCACAGAGCATTGGTAATTTCCGCACCATTTTGCATTTTTATTTTAACCTCTGAGAACTGAAGGGAAAGTAGAATTTGATAGGATTAATTATAATAAAGTCAGTCTGTTTGGCCCTGCATTCCTGGTTACAGAATTAAAGTGAGGAATTAGTCTATTGCTTTGAAAGCATTTAATCACCATGCCTAAATGCCAAGAGAACACTTAAGAGCCTTGCCCTGAGTGCTTTTGGAATCATTCCAAACAGCCTATCTTTATCAGGAGTATTGTGTTAAGGAAGAGAAGACAGAACTGATTAGGCTGCAAAGAATTCTTTGTGTTCCTTTATCAATTGAGCAACTCTGTGCAGTTGAGGTAGCCCAGCCTTTGGGCTTGGTGGTCTACAGACTAAACAAACTGGGGAATTCTGGTTGCATTATCTAACTTCTTTCTCATAATAAGTACTTAAGCATTTGAAAATTCATTTTTCCTTTTTGGAGCCTTTTAAGAAGAGCTGCTATTTTTTTATTGCAAAGATAACATTTGTTCTTCATTGAAAATTAGCAAAAAACTGACAAAAGAACAACAAATCAACTATAATCCATACTCAGAGATAATCACTATTAACATTTTGATGTATATTCTTTCAGCCTCTCTTGTGTATAGATATGTATAGATATGCTAAGTGAAGTTGCTCAGTCGTGTCCGACTCTTTGAGGCCCCATGGACTGTAGCATACCAGGCTTCTCTGTCCATGGGATTTTCCAGGCAAGAATACTGGAGTGGGTTGCCATTTTCTTCTCCAGGAGATCTTCCCGACCCAGGGATTGAACCCGGGTTTCCCGCATTGTAGGCAGACGCTTTACCGTCTGAGCCACCAGGAAAGTGTATAGATATGAGTGCATGCTAAATCATTTCAATCGTTCTGACTCTGTGACCCCCATGGACTGTAGTCCGCCAGGCTCCTCTGTCCATGGGATTCTCCAGGCAAGAATACTGGAGTGAGTTGTCATGCCTTCCTCCGAGAAATCTTCCTAGTCCAGGGATCGAACCCATCTCTCTTAGGTCTCTTGGATTGGCAGGCAAATTCTTTCCCACTAGCACCACCTGGGAAGTCCATGTATAGATATACTCACACCTTAAAAATAAAATCAGGGCCTATGTTGTTTTATAACTTGTGTTCACAGATGAGTACTCTAATATTGCATCAGATAAGAGCCTTTGACCTTGGTGGTACTAAGGTAGAAATAGCAACATGGTGCAAAGAACCCATCACTGAGAATGAGCAGACCCAAGTTTTTTCTTAGGACCTTGTGAGGTGGAAGCTGTTATCACCTCCTTATTATATCTTGGCTTTGCCACTAATAGTTTGCTTTGCCATCTTGGACATGTCACATAATTCCTCTCAGTAAGGTTCATTAAACTAAATATCTTCTTAAGGTTCAGCTTGAAATTATCAGACTATGACAGATGGTTAGCATTTATAGGAAATATAGTTTAGTTTCTCCTCACTAAAACATATTTTATTCCAGACATTTCTGTAATTACTGGGTCCTTCATTTTCAATTCCCCTTTTATCGTGTGTGACTTGTATCTCACAGTGTTTTATTACAGCCTTAATTTACTGGTTTTATTTCAAATTAAATTTTCCACTTCATCTTCAGCTCTTGTTAGTCATATAATATAAGCCATGTCCTGCAGTTTTTAAATTAGTTGTATAAAAACTGTCTTTAACTGAGTTTCCAGGATTCCTGGTTCTTTCTTTGAGTGTTAATCCTGGCTCAGTGGTTTTCATCCCTAGCTTCACATCAGAATATCTGGTGTGTTTTCCTTGCTACTTGTGCCCTGGGGTCCCTCTAAGTGAACTCAGTTAGAATCTGGAGTTGAGACTCACTGCACTGTGTTACATTTGTCTTTGCAAACATTGGCTAGTTTTTTGCAGTGTAGAGTGTAGTTATATTGACTTGATTTCACCCCCACCCCCACCCCGTCTATTATTGACACCGGAAGTAGAAGAGACCACACACTGTATGTATCTGCCTCAATTTTTCATCTTTGTTCCTGAGCTATGCCACCAAGTTAAACTGTGAAGATTCCTTAGGCCCAAAAGCCTATTTCTTTTATCCCTGTGTGGGCCATTTTATCTACTTGTAAATAAAAATTCTTTTGGAATAAAAATGTTTCTAGTTTTGTTTTTGTTGCTGCTGTTGTTAGTTTTCTTCTTTTCAGTTTAAAATTTTTCCAGCAATCTCTTAATACTGACAACCCAGCACATTGTTTTTACTTTTAACTAGAAGTAAGACTGTCATTAATAATTTGCTCTGGGTAATCCCTAGTTTCATTTTGAGCAGTGAAGCTGGTAAGAAAAATTAAAGGCTTAGATTAAAGTAAAACCTGTCTCTGGTATCTTTTGAGCAATCTTAAGTGTTAAGATGGGTCCAAGGAACTAAAGATAACTTAACTCATCATTTCTGCTGCCAACTCAGTGCATTGTTTACAGAGAATTTTAAATCGGGGCTGTTTCATACATACCAGTTGTGTATAAAGAGTATAGCTATGAATAGTTATGTAATACTTAGCAGTTTATTAAATACTACTTAGTAAATTATCATATTTGAACCTCCTAATGGCCTTGTGAGACGCTGTCGCCTCCATATTATAAATATGAATCTGAATCTCAGAAGGGGTAAGTGACTTGTTCAAGCTCACTCAAATACATGAATTCAGCTTCTCTGCTTCAAACCTCTGCTTTTTCACATTTCACGGCAAGCAAATTATAAAATCAGTCTAAATCAAACACAAGTTGGTTTCATTAATGCTCTCCAAAGTCAAAAGTTCCTCTCTTATTATGCATCATTGGCTTTAAAAGGTATTGCTTACTGTGCTTGTGGAATCATTAGGGTCCTATCTGTTCTTCTCTTTGGAGCTAAATTCAGTTCAGCTTAGTCTTGTACGACTCTTTGCGACCCCATGAACCGCAGCATGCCAAGCCTACCTGTCCATCACCAACTCCCAGAGTCCACCCAAACCCATGTCCATTGAATCGGTGATGCCATCCAACCATCTCATCCTCTGTTGTCCCCTTCTCCTCCTGCCCTCAATCTTTCCCAGCATCAGGGTCTTTTCCAGTGAGTCAGCTCGTCACATCAGGTGGCCAAAGTATTGGCGTTTCAGCTTCAACATCAGTCCTACCAATGAACACCCAGGACTGATCTCCTTTAGGATGGACTGGTTGGATCTCCTTGCAGTCCAAGGGACTCTCAAGAGTCTTCTCCAACACCACATTTCAAAAACATCAATTCTTCGGCGCTCAGCTTTCTTTATAGTCCAACTCTCTCATCCATACATGACCACTGGAAAAACCATAGCCTTGACTAGATGGACCCTTGCTGGCAAAGTAATGTCTCTGCTTTTTAATATGCTGTCTAGGTTGATTATAACTTTCCTTCCAAAGAAAGGAGCAAGCACCTTTTAATTTCATGGCTGCAATCACCATCTGCAGTGATTTTGGAGTCCAGAAAAATAAAGTCAGCCACTGTTTCCACTGTTTCCCCATCTATCTGCCATGAAGTGATGGGACCAGGTGCCATGATCTTAGTTTTCTGAATGTTGAGCTTTAAGCCAACTTTTTCACTTTCCTCTTTCACTTTCATCAAAAGGCTCTTTAGTTCTTCTTCACTTTCTGCCATAAGGGTGGTGTCATCTGCATATCTGAGGTTACTGATATTTCTCCCAGCAATCTTGACTCCAGCTTGTGCTTCTTCCAGCCCAGCGTTTCTCCTTATGTACTCTGCATATAAGTTAAATAAGCACGGTGACAATATACAACCTTGATGTACTCCTTTTCCTATTTGGAACCAGTCTGTTGTTCCCTGTCCAGTTCTAACTGTTGCTTCCTGACCTGCATACAGGTTTCTCAAGAGGCAGATCAGGTGGTCTGGTATTCCTGTCTTTTTCAGAATTTTCCACAGATTATTGCGATCCACACAGTCAAAGGGTTTGGCATAGTCAATAAAGCAGAAATAGATGATTTTCTGGAACTCTCTTGCTTTTTCAATGATCCAGTGGATGTTGGCAATTTGATCTCTGGTTCCTCTGCCTTTTCTAAAACCAGCTTGAACATCTGGAAGTTCACAGTTCACGTATTGCTGAAGCCTAGCTTGGAGAATTTTAAGCATTACCTTACTAGCGTGTGAGATGAGTGCAATTGTGCGGTAGTTTGAGTATTCTTTGGGATTGCCTTTCTTTGGGATTGCAATGAAAACTGACCTTTTCCAGTCCTGTGGCCACTGCTAAACTAGTCAAGTGCAATTCCTGAATTTATGGAGTGTCAGAAATAATGGGTTTCAGTAATACAAGGAATATAACAGTATACAGTTCATTTATAGCAAGGGCCTACCTATAATGAAGTTTATCATAAAGAAAAAGAATTTTAAAGCTAAAAGGGTTATGATTCACAATAAAACTACAAAAAGTCCTGCAAGTCCTATTCCTTAATTATTGATATTAGCTTACATGATTGCTGATCACAGATGTTCAAAATAATCACAACAGAATTCTAATTAATTTCCTTTATACATTCAGTTCAGTTCAGTCACTCAGTCGTGTCTGACTCTGTGACCCCATGGACTGCAGCACGCCAGGCTTCCCTGTCCATCACCAACTCCCAGAGATTACTCAAACTCATGTTCATCAAGTCAGTGATGCCATCCAACCATCTCATCCTTTGTCGTCCCCTCCACCTCCCACATTCAGTCTTTCCCAGAATCAGGGCCTTTTTCCATGAGTCAGTTCTTCACATCAGGTGGCCAAAGTATTGGAATTTCAGCTTCAGCATCAGTCCTTCCAGTGAATATTCAGGACTGATTTCCTTTAGGATTGACTGGTTTGATTTCCTTGCAGTCCAAGGGACTCTCAAGAGTCTTCTCCAACACCACAGTTCAAAAGCATCAATTCTTCAGCGCTCAGCTTTCTTTATGGTCCAACTTTTACATTCATACATGAGTATTGGAAAAACCGTAACTTTAACTCAACAGACATTTGTCAGCAAAGTAATGTCTCTGCTTTTAAATATTCTGTCTAGGTTGGTCATAGCTTTTCTTCCAAGGAGCAAATGTCTTTTAATTTCATGGCTGCCATCACCCATCTGCAGTGATTTTGGAGCCCAAGAAAATAAAGTCTGTCACTGTTTCCATTGTTTCCCCATCTATTTGCTGAAGAGATGGGGCCAGATGCCATGATCTTAGTTTTTTGAATAACTCCTCACAAACTCACCCCTCAATAACTTTAGATTAGGGTATAAAATGATTGGTAATTGAGTTAATTCTCTGGCCTACATCTTCTAACATGAGTGAGACAAAATTCCAGTCTTACCACAGAAAGAGAAGATAGTCAGGAGGTGACTACCCTGTGACCAGTTGATACTTTCTTAATTCATTGTATGATATACATTTTGTTTGTAGTACATTGGTCTGTCCTGACTGTCTAATGTGTGAAATATTTCTTTCCCTTTTCTTTTGTCACCTGTATTTTTATTCTAAATAACTTTTTATAAAAGCCTGAGTTGTTTGTTTTGTTGTTGTCTTTCAATTCTTATGAATATTTAAAACTTTGTGTTACTTCTATATCCTATAAACAAGTTGTTTTGACTATCTTAGTTCTAGGCACAGACAGGGTGGAGCAGATGACCAGAACTTACAATGACATCGACATGGTTACACATCTCCTGGCAGAGGTAGGAATGTGTCCTTTTTCTCCAGTACAAAAAGTGAATGTTGAAGATCATTTAGGAGCTATTAAATTTGCACATCAATGAAGAATGATGATGTCTTTGCCCTAGGTTGTTCTGTATAGGTTGTTACAGCTAGAACAACTGGCATACCAACTGGTATTCCAAAGTAGAATGGCTCCTGAATTCTATTTTTGTAAAGTTGCATAGCACTTAATTTTTTATTGTTGTGTTATAATGATGCTGGCTGGCTTCACTGTCTTGGAAAAGCAATCTTTAAAAAAAAAATATGTTTTTTTAAAATAAATCCTTGCTGTCACTTACCCTGAAACAGAGCTCCCATTCAAGAAGCAGCTTGTTTGCAAATAAACACCAACAGTTTGGAGCACCTTCCCTTTTTTACTTTCTTTCAGGCTATTATTTGAGCTCACTTTGTCCATGACATTTTTAGTATATGTGGTGTATCTCTTCCGAGTGGTGGTCTTAGAGATCTTTCCCTATGCTTCAAGTTCAGTTGATCTTATGGGAATTATCTTTCTTTTAGAAGTACCCTTCTCCGCACATGTCCCCCTCACCCCTGGCAGCTCCCCAGAATGATTTTGTGTATGCCACTTAGCCTATATTGAAAATGAAATAAGTGGGCGTTGAAAATTTAGAGATAACCCATCTACCGGTTTTCATGTTACTATGGAACAAAAAGAAGCTTAACTTTACTTACAGTGATTAATGTGAGCATAATCATATACCATAAGGCACTTATAGATGTTTTAATATATTGATAGTTTTCCATCCTACAGAATACAAGCCTCACCCCCACCATATAGAGGGGGGTGAGGCTTATGCCCTTGCTAAGTTATTACCATCTACCCAGATAGAGTAACTCTTGCCTTGGGCCTCCCTTCATCATTACCACCGATTCCTTCAGACTCCCTTCTTCTCTATACTCTGAGAAGAACCCTATAGCCTTGAAATGTCCAGTCTGTTATATCCCCTATTTTATTTCATATCATGATTCTTATACCAGTTGACAATAGGGTTCCTGATTATGCTTTCTTCTGAGCCTCTGGCTCTGAATGCATACAAACTTTGCCTTGGTTTTCAGCATGCCTACTGTAGCATTACCATGCTCAAAGACAAATGCATTCAACAAATATTTATTGGGCTTTTACTGTGTGTCAGGCCCTGTCCTCAATTTTAAAGACTATATTAGTTTTCTAAGTTTCCAAAGTCATAAGTTTAAAGATAGAGTTGCTGTATCCTAATTAATAGGGTGATCAATAAATCTCACTTAATATTTAGAAATACTCTCTTGCATTTATAACTGTGGTGGTCATCCATTTGACCACCTATTTTAAACACCATTTGTGTGTCAGGCCCTGTATTTGTTTGTATATCTGGGCATTAAAATGGACCTTGATGCTTTCTAGGACATTGCTTTTAATGACTACAGGATTTCTAAACTACTACTTAATTTTGTTTGTACTCAAGAGATGTATTTGGTGTTTTAACAGAGGGATCGTGATCTGGAGCTAGCTGCTCGAATTGGACAAGCTCTCTTAAAGAGGAATCATGCCTTGTCTGAGCAGAATGAAACCCTGGAGGAGCAACTGGGACAAGCCTTTGATCAAGTATGTCTTGGATCAAGTATTTGCAGCATGAAATAGTTAGATTTGGGAAATGGAGAATTTATTTTCCTGGTGTCCCTGAAATGATGACACTAGGTAGACAGATAATACCAGCACGTGTTAACTGTTGGTATCCACTGAACTAACCAGTAGAGAAATGAAATGTTAATGTACAGAGGAGTACTCATGTGACTCTACCTTAGTCAATATAAAGTCTATATTGAGTACCTACAGTACTTGTGGCATCTTGTTTAGATTCTAATGGCTTCCCTGATAGCTCAGTTGGTAAAGAATCTGCCTGCTAATGCAGGTCACCCTGGTTCAATTCCTGGGTCAGGAAGATCCACTGGACAAGGGATAAGCTACCCATTCCAGTATTTTTGGGCTTCCCTTGTGGCTCAACTGGTAAAGAATCCACCTGCAGTGCAAGAGATCTGGGTTCGATCCCTGAGTTGGGAAGATCCCCTATAGAAGGGAAAGGCTACCAATTCCAGTATTCTGCCCTGGAGAATTCCATGGACTGTATAGACCATTGGGTTGCAAATTCTAACACTTTATCCTTACTCCTTCGTGTAAACTCTTTGTATTTTCTTATCTTAATATTTTAAAATATACCCCAAAGTAATAGATACCAAAGAAAGTATCTTTGTTCAAAAACCCAAACAAGTAAAGGAAAAAATTTTTAATTTGTTTTCTAGTTTCATTTATATTTTATATAAACACATCGTGTTTAGTAACAGTCAAGCCTCTGAGTTTGAAGTATTAATTCCCCAGAATTAAAGTTGGGAAGTCATATAGAGTTACACAGCTTAAAAATACAAACCTTTAGAATGAGAATTTGAAGTAAGGTTCTATTCTGATATTTTGAGGTTTCTTCTGTTTTGTTTTGAACTGTGAATAAATATGTCACCTTATGTGAAATTTCCTCCTATATTCCTATTATAGTGAATATGGAAATTGGCTTTTCTTTTCACCTACTATAGAAAAAACTGTATTCATTGAGTAAATGCTCTGAAATTATAGCTCAGGAAATATATGAGGTTTTTGACTCTCTTTTTAGCCCTTATTACTTTAATCAATAGAACCTAGAAGCTGATTTTATGATTTTGTTTTATGGTGAGAAACAAATTTCCCATGAATTAGAAGGTATATTACTTGTAAATAATGTAAAATAAAGACTATTTTGTAAACCAAGCCCTTTTGATGTACAGGTTAATCAACTGCAGCATGAGCTGTCCAAGAAAGATGAGTTGCTTCGAATTGTCTCCATTGCTTCTGAAGAGAGTGAAACTGACTCCAGCTGCTCTACACCTCTTCGCTTCAATGAGTCCTTTAGCTTATCTCAAGGTTTGCTGCAATTGGACATGCTGCAGGAAAAGCTCAAGGAACTGGAAGAAGAGAATATGCTTCTTCGATCCAAGGCACAGTCAACTTATTTCTCACTCTCCTTTACCCTAAAGGCTATAAGGTTTAGGTCTAGGTAGTATCGGGGTGAAATATGGCATAACTAAGGACTTGCTGTTGACATTCCAGTGGGGGCGGGGTGGGCGGCAGCTAGGGCACAGGTGATTGATTACCTTCCACTGTTACTTAGAGCCCACTGAAAAATGAATAGCAAGCTGACAGGTAAAAAAGGGGAAACCGTAGCATAGAATATATATGTTGTGGAGTTCACACAAATAGCTAAATCATTACAACCAGAGTAAGAACTGTATTGGAAAATGTCTCATGAGCTTATATAGTGGGGGAGGGTCAGAGAATGGATCAAAGCAGTGCTACTTAAACAAGTGACATTTTAGTCGAGGCTGAGGATTAGCCTATCAGAGATATATGATGGAGAGCAGGGGCTGGGGGTGGAGATATGCAAAGGCCCTGTGAGGAATAAGGGGGAGATGTTTGTCATGTCCTATTCCATAGTCTTTATTTTGTGATAGATAAAGCTTTATGAGTTTTTGTTTCCTTTGCAAGTGATGATTATCTTAAATGAGTATTAAAAGTTTTTTTTAGTTAATACTAGAAAATAATTAGAAGACATTATCACATACTGATTTTTTTCTCTTGAAGGCTTGTCACATAAAGACAGAAACTATTACCTATGAAGAGAAAGAACAGCAGCTTGTCAGTGATTGTGTTAAAGAACTTCGTAAGTATTAATGCGTTCTGTTTTATAGCCTCTGGGTCATTCTTTGATAGGGTATCACTAACTCAGAAATTAGATCAATGATTTCAATAAAAGCATGTCAAGAAACAATTTAAATAGTTACTGAAAATCTTAGTTTATAACATTGAGCCCACAACTCTAAATAAAGTTTCATTTGTATTTTTAAGAAATATCTTTGTCATCATTAAATAAAGACCTATATTTCTGCCTGTTACAGCATATTAAAATGAAAGGAACCAAAACTCATATTGTTGGTGCAGAAATAATCCTGTAGAGATATGATTGCTAAAGTCAGGAAACTGATTAGCAGCAAAACTAGAGCTTAAATGATGGTGTAAAATATAACATTCAGTGAGTATTTGTTAAATTCAAACTGTGTTTCTATAAAGGAATGTATTTTGCTTTCATGTATTATTACATAAAATTTAAAAAAATAAATCAGTTGGAAAATGATCAGCTTTACTAGGAAAAAAGTTTGAATCTCTCTATAAATGTATAGCCTTTGTTATATTTGTTAAGTTTGATTCTCATTTCTTTTGGGATCTTATTTATATCCCTGAAGATTACTCAAAGACATAAAGTCTCAGCACTTGCAAACATATATCATTCACCTATCTCTTTTCAGCCTTATCCTTCATAAAGAAAAAGACAGAGGCAAAATGTTTAGCTTGCTTATCTTTATAAGTTCTCTCTTTTTGGCTTCAGTGCCTCTTATTAAATTCCCAGCATTTGTCTTATTTCAGAAGAACCTTCAGTTTTCTCTGTTGGGTTATTCGGGTTGATTACTTTAAATTTATGTTAAAGAAAAATCAATTCATGATAGCTCAGTGCTTGTTACAAGACAGGATTTGGCCCACAGGCCATAGTTTAATGTCCTGTATTTATATTAGTTTTTAAATTTCTATTTTGTTTTCCAGGTGAGACCAATGCTCAGATGTCTAGAATGACTGAAGAATTGTCTGGGAAGAGTGATGAACTGATTCGATACCAAGAAGAGATTTCCTCTCTCCTGTCTCAGATTGTAGATCTTCAGCACAAACTGAAAGAAGTAGGTTCATTCATTCACCAGACGTTTGTTAAGCAGTAGCCTAGTACTTATGCACTCTGTTCAGTGCTAAGCAAAATAAACACAGCCCCTGCCCTTCTGCAGTGCTGTAGTCTGTCTGACTGCTGTTGTAGTCTTCTGTCATGAAATATCATGAACAACTACCTTCAAATCATTATTTCTTTCCAGTGAACGAAATTATCTTTTCCTCAGAAAGTTGTGATATGAACTACTGACTCATGTTCTTTGTCCTTTAAACACCTTGATGGATTTTGTATTCTGCCCGTTTTATTGCTATTGTTTGGCTTTTGAAAGGTTAGCTTTTGCTATTCCTCTGGACTGTCCCCTGAAAAACATTCTCCAGATGTCTTAAAAAGAGAGTAACCTCTATTTTACGTGGGAAGGCTTCACATGTCTCTTTTAATGTGTTGTTAGCATGTGATTGAGAAGGAAGAACTGAGACTTCACCTCCAAGCTTCCAAAGATGCCCAAAGACAATTGACGATGGAGGTAATGAGATCTGCCTTTATCTTGTATAATATGGGAGAGAGGAATGAGTAGTTTCTTTCATCTTTGTGAATAAGAATGGTTAAAGATGATTACCAGGTTTGAAATAACCACAGAAGACTAAAATGAAATTATAAGATCTATGAAATAAAGCTTTTTAAAAATTCTATCTCTAAAACTAATAATAACATGACAACATCCTTCTGAGCAGGGAAACCTTGAGTTTATAAGATTTTTCAGGAATGTGTGACCCCTTTACAGGCCTCTGTTAACTAACCCAACAGTTTTTAAAATAAGGCAATCTCCATTTTTAATAAGCATCTCTAGCCCTAGTGATGCTGATCATCTAGTCCACATAATACATACACTTGAAAAAATTTTTGAAGTTAAAATGTACTCTGAAAATTAGGTACTGTTTTAACATGCTTATGTATTCTAACTATAAAAGAAAGTTTCTGAAACAAGGGAGAAGAAACTACTTGTTTTATGTCCATTGAGTACTCTGACATCTTCTTTTTTTTTTTTTAAGATTTTATTTATTTATTTATTTTGGCTGTGGTGAGTCTTCATTGCTGTTTACAGGCTTTTCTTTAGTTGCAGTGAGCAGGAGCTACTTTCAAATTGCTGTTGCATGCTTCTCATTGTGGTTGGCTTCTCTTGTCACGGAGCATGGGCTTCGGTAGTTGCAACTCATGGGCTCTAGAGCTCGGGCTCAGTAGTTGTGGCACATGGGCTTAGTTACTCCATGGCACGTGGATCTTGACGGACCAGGGACTGAACCCACTGTCCCCAGCATTGGCAGGTGAACTCTTAACTGCTGGACTGCCAGGGAAACCCCCACCCTGACATCTTGTAGACTTGATAGACTTGATCTTGTCATTTGCAAATTTCAGAGAGATGTTTAACTTGACCATAGCTATTATACTTCCTCTATAAGTTTTTTTTTTAATAAGAAGCATTAAATACTGAATTGACAGCTATGGTTGTCTCAGTTACTTTTCACATTTTTAGGAAATTGTGTTTGTATTTGATTTTGGCCAAGACACCTCTAAATCTGGCAGCTGGAAATATATATACTGTCCTTGCTTAGGCTGTTTCAGAGTCTTTGTAGAAAATTTAAATTCATAAAGTTAGTCCTCTGGATAAAATTTAAACTTATCTCAATTTTTTTTCCTATCGTCACTTTGGAATATAACAAGGTACACTAATCACCCTCCAATCTTTCAGCTGCATGAGCTACAAGACAGGAATATAGAGTGTCTGGGAATGCTACATGAATCTCAAGAAGAAATAAAGGAACTTCGCAGTAGATCTAGCCCTGCAGCTCATCTCTACTTCTCTCAGCCATACGGAGTTTTCTCTGGGGTAAGGGACTGAGAAAAATATTATGTATTTAAGGAAACTTACTTAAGATTTGATGGTCCTTGAGAGTAACAGGGTTGTAGGTAACTCTATTACCCCTTAATACTTCAATGAGTATGTTATTTTAAAAAAAGGACCCTCTCAAGGACATTCTCCTACCTAACCACATATAACCATCAACTCCAGGATATTGACACTGATACAGTACTATCACTGTCTCATGCACAGAGCCCATTTAAATTTCGCCAATTGTCCCAGAAATGTCCTTTGAAGGATACATTGCATTGGGTTGTTACAGTCTGGGACAGTTCTTTTGTCTTTGTTTTGTCATTTATGACCTTTGTAGAATGTCTTCAGTTTTGGTTTGTCTGTTGTTTCCCCACAATTAGATTTAGGTAATGCATTTTCAGCAGAAATAATGCCATGTTCTCCTCAGTGCATCGCATTGAGAGGCACGCATTGTCTTTTTTTCCCATTACTGATGATGGGAATTACTGATGATGTTAATTAACTTTGATCCCTTGGTTAAGGTAATATCTGCCAGTTTTTTTCCACTGTAAAAATTTCCATTGTTAATTAATTACTAGTTAATTGAATTAACATTACTAATTAACTTTGCAGTGATGAAAATTGTCAGATACTACCTTAACCAAGTGATCAAAATGACTATTTTTGGGTGATACATTGATACTGTTTAAATATTATGTTCCTCATCAATCTTTACCCACTAGTTGTAGCACCCATTAATGGGGATGTATCTGACTCAGTTATCACTATGATGGTTGCCAAATGGTGACTTTTTAATTCCATCATTTTTTTCAGCTTTTTTAAATTGGCATTCTTTTGTAAGTTAGAACTTTTCTGTCTCATTTATTTATTCATTTGTTCATTTAGGTTATGCAGTATAGACCCATGAATTCCTATTTTAATCAACGTATTATAAGCCATTATTACTCTTTTTTGTTTTGATACTTAAATGGTCCCAGATGTGGTCAGTAGGATCCCTTTCGGGCTCCTCTTGCCCTTTCCCTGGCCCAGCCCCTGAGATCAGCCATTCTCCAAGGAACTCTGGTTATTTTTAGTGAGGAATGATACTTGGAATCCAAAATCTGGGTGCCAGGTATGCCTTGCCACTACAGTTATCATTGCTTTCAGTCCCTCTCAACAGATAGAGCTAGGCAATATGTATGCACCCATATAAACACATGTATATCTATCTGTCTATTCATATCTTATGTTTACATGCATATTTAACATCATGAGTTCACACCAGTACCTCCAATTCTAGTTATTGTCAACTTAGCCCCATTGAGTCTACCATCTATGCTAATTAAATCTTCATCTTTGACCAGGGGAAGGATAAGATTGCTGATTTTTATTTTAAACATTTTTTTATTTTGTAAAAGCTTTTCATGTTCATTATAGAAAAGTTAGAAACTACAGAGGACCAGAAAGAAATTGTTAAATGCTGTCAATCCTGACCTTCACAGAATCACTGTTAACATCTTGGTTTATAGCCTTTCAAACCTTTTATTTCTGTGTATCTGTATATGTAATACTTTTATGTATCATAATTGGCTTTTCCCATTGCTTCCTGTAAAAATATATGATGAAAAAGTAGTCGTTTCTTGTATAAAAGCTACATTTCCAGAATGTCTCTTTGCTTCCCCTGCATTTTAGCCTATGACTATTTTCTTGTGTTTTCTTTTACTATAATACTTAAAGTGCTGGATTCTTGGAATTCTATTAAATAATTGAAAGGTTGTTTATTTCTCCTAACAGGCTTCTTAGTTAATCACTGTTAGTAACCTCAAACTCTTTTCTTAGGAATCTCTGGCAGCTGAGATTGAGGGCACCATGCGTAAGAAGTTGAGTTTGGATGAGGAATCTTCTCTCTTTAAACAAAAGTAAGTACAGATTGCATGTGTTGTTACTAGACCATTGGGATGGAAACTGAAAAGAAGCTGCACTCCAAAGTGACCAGTATTATGAGATTCAGTAGTATATCTTCTTACTGGTCAGTTCTTTCCTGGTAGTGCTCCCATCTGTGAGAGCATTCTCTTGTTCTGAAATTTATTTTCTAATGATTTCTCCCAAACTTGAGAGTCTTTTCAGGGTGGCTTTATTTTTAATGAGCTGCACTTACATGCCTCATTTCTGGAGTGCTCCAGTGGTAGGCAGTGGCAATAATGAACACTTCTTTTTTTGACAGAGCCCAACAGAAACGGGTATTTGATACTGTCAAGGTTGCCAATGACACCCGGGGTCGCTCTGTCCCATTCCCGATTCTACTGCCCATCCCAGGCTCCAATCGCTCAAGTGTCATCATGACAGCAAAACCATTTGAATCTGGCTTAGAACCAACAGAGGGCAAAACAACCCAGAAGAGTAACTTGGAGGAGGATCCAGGGTAAGAAACATAGATTCAGGCACAAATTCCAGCATTGTTATGTGCTGTCTGAAGACAACACTGAAAGAAACTATCAGTTCTCATTCAGTAATGATGCCTTGTATCATTATTTGTTAGATGGATCACTGGAGTGAAAAGGTTTAATTAATTATATTCAAAATGGAGTTTGCATTGAACTATAACATTCTTTACTTCTTTCTTCTCTGGTTTGGCAAAATTTGAGTCTATATCTTTGTGTTCAGAATCAAGTTTGTTTGAATCTGTTTGGTCATTGGCAGTTATGCATAGCATTAGATGACAGTTTCTCATAACCCGTGCTCATGATTTCAGCTTCTTTGGTGCCTTTACGATAAACAATAACTTGAATACCTATTAAGGAAAACTAGATTGTTCTTAATTTCCTATTTGTTTAAATTGAGATTTCTGTTTCTGTTTTTTTTATTAATTCAGTTCATTGAATTTTGTTTAACTAGAAATTAAAGAGAATTATTGGAAAGTCAGCTGAAAATTTTTGAAAATTAGATGTTTGGCACCTGAGAGAAGTCTTTCCTAATGCAGAAATCCATTACCCTGGTTTTTGATTGTATTGTCTGGTCTTAGGGTAGATTCTGTACCCATGGTAGCCTTATGCGTTGATACTACCTCTCTCTACACAGTTACCTTAGGAAAAGATCTAACAAGAACGTCTATGTGAATTCACACGTGGAATGCCTAAAACTCGGCTTACTACTCTTACTTTTGGTATCAGTTGTAAGATATCTCTGATTTTTTTAATCTTCAGAAGTGAAAAACTGTGTGTTGCAGAGCTATGAAAATGCGGTATTTATGAATCTTGTTTTCTTTTAAATGTCTGCAGTATTCATAGAGGATTCTATGGCCTAAAGTAAATTTTTTCACATTTTACTATTTTTGAAATTGTTTCTCTTTTGCAGCTAATGATGTGTTGTAGTATAATGAGTAGCATTTTTAATTTCTTAGTAATACATAAAATAATGTTACCTCTTGCCCTCAATGATATTACAGATTCAGTGAAATAAGATAATATTTATTTTTTTGACTACCTAAACTGAATTTATAGATGGTCATTATCTATAGCTTCATAAATTAAGTGGAACAGAAATTTTAATAAATACAATGTAATATAGCCTATCTGAAGTCATCTGAAATGATCTATAAAAATGTTACAAGGTAGTATTAGAGATTTGGGTTTGTTACTATTTCTGTATTCCAGCTATCTAAGAAAAATATGTGTTTTTAAGATCAGTCTCTTGAACATTCACCATTGTGGAAAGGAGAGCTCTTTGCTGTGCTTCTGACCCTCACAGATATAGTCAGTGAATGTGATCTTCCCGTAGGAACATCCAGAAGGCGGATCAACCAGGACTCTCTACAGAGAGCGATTTGGCAACAGCACTTCATCGCCTGAGTCTGCGGCGACAGAACTACTTAAGTGAGAAGCAGTTCTTTGCAGAAGAATGGCAGCGGAAAATCCAAGTTCTGGCTGACCAGAAAGAAGAGGGCAGTGGCCGTGGCACGCCCACAGAGAGCCTGGCCTCCCTCTGCACTGACCAGTCGGAGATTACAGACCTCAGCAGTGCCAGCTGCCTTCGAGGTTTTATGCCTGAAAAATTACAAATTGTCAAGCCCCTTGAAGGTAATAAGTGAGGGCGTTTCTAAGCCATGTTGCTGATGGCTTTGCCTTCCCCTGGAAATGAAATGTCTCTTGTAATTATAAAAACTGTATGTGCAGGAGCTATCTTTATTATCCCTAAATCTTCACTGTTCATGTGACCATGCACTGCAGAACTTTGTGGAAAAGTAATGAAGAGATTTGCATTCTCCACTCCATCAGCTGTCAGCTCTCTTCTACAGATGTTGTTTTTATACAAATTTGGGGGAGGAGAAGGAATCTTTTCTTGTCCTTTGCTGAGGAATATCCTTAATAGTGGGGCTTTCCAGGTAGCGCTAGTGGAAAAGAACCCATCTGCCAGTGCAGGAGATGTAAGAGATGTGGGGTCAATCCCTGGGTTGGGAAGGTCCGCTGAAGGATGGCACAGCAACCCACTCCAGTAGTCTTGCCTGGAGAATCCCATGGACAGAGGAGCCTAGCAGGCTACAGTGTTTAGGGTTGCACAGGGTTGGGCATGACTGAAGCGACTTAGTGTGCATGCACACATCCTTGAAAGCAGTTTTCATGATAAGATAAATGAGATATGACAGATGAATAAAAATAATCTAGACGGAATACTTCATCTCTACCTTCCGTTTCAAGAAAGAGGTCTTTACCCAAAGAGTGTCTTTTACTTAGAGGTGTGTGCGCCTGTATTTTTCTTTTGTTCAGTTAGAAAATGTTGTTAATTTCTGGTCAGTTTCTATTTTCTCTTAAAATGGGACTTGAATTTAAAATAGATTTCTTTGTTTTATGGAATATTGACAATCTTCAAATGATCCTCTGCTGTTACCATAAAAGAGTCTGCATTAGACAGAATTTTGAGTTGATAACCTAGAAGGCCCTCTCAAACTCAAAGGTGTTATGTTGGTTTTCTTTATTAATGGTCAGTGCAGGTGTTTGCAGCTATTTTTAGGATTAAATGACTCTCAGTGACAAGTAGCAACTGCATCTGGTGCAGGCATTTGGGATGATCATTAACCTGCATTTGCAGACAGAAGTGGTGGGGATATGTCCTCCTTTTATAATTTCCTTCGCTTTCCTACTCTCCCTGAGATCCTAGTGAAAGGACATGAACACAGTGGAGAAGTATTCAAAAAATCACTGTAATTCAAGATGCCTTCCAACTTAGAAGCCTAGCTTTTGTGTTCAAAGTTTGTAAGCATAGTTCCAAAACAAAAGAATATTGACTTTTGTCACCTAGAAAAACACAACCCCACATTGTACGTATCTTTCTTCTCATCACTGCCTCAGCATCCTAGTTTCTATTAAGCATGTTGAGTTGGTTTTTTCACCCCTGCTTTAGATGTCCTTTTAAAAGTTAACTTTTGAAATAAAAAGATGATTATTCATACCTTTAGTATCTTGTTAGTTTTCCACAGAGAACGTCAATGTACAAATTTTGCCAAAATAGTAAGACTGAAAAAAGCAGTTTTATTATTATCATTACTTTTTTACACACGTAATTTTAGCTTCTTTCAAGATTTAATATTTGTGGGAAATTCAAAACATGTTCCTTTTTTTTGTTTGCATACTCAGGATCACAAACTCTGCATCAATGGCAGCAGCTTGCTCAGCCAAATTTAGGAACCATTCTTGACCCACGACCAGGTGTCATCACTAAAGGCTTTACCCAGTTGCCCAAGGATGCCATCTATCACCTCTCAGATTTAGAAGAAGATGAAGAGGAAGGTATCACTTTTCAGGTTCAGCAACCTCTTCAAGTGGAACAGAAAACATCAATATCCCAACCAGTGACAGGAATCTTCCTGCCACCCATGACTTCAGCTGGTGGTCCAGTTACAGGTGAGAAGAGTATAGCTTATAACCAGTAGTACTTTGCTTTCTGCATCACTGTATGGTCAGCTGACTGCCTCTACTTAAGTCTTACTGGAGTGTACTCATCTTGAAAATAGGGTAGTAGATATGCCCTATTCTAAAGGCGTAAGTGCCCCTTCTGATTCTCTCCGTGTCTTAGCCAGCCTGCATAAATAGATCAGGCAGAGAGGAGACAGCACTTCAGTCAGTGGCTCACAAACCTTTAGGGCTCGGCATCTCTTTACACTCTTCTTTTTTTAATTGAAGGATAATTGCTTTATAGTGTTGTGTTGGTTTCTGCCAAAAGTCAACACGTATCAGACATAGGTTAACCCATGTCTCCTCTCACTTGAACATACCCCCTACCTCCCTCCCCATCCCATCTTTACATTCTGAAAACTCATGAAGAATTCCAGAGAGCATGTCTGTGTGGGTTGTATCTACTCATAATTTAACATATTAGAAATAAAAACTGAGAAATTATAAAAATATTTATTAACTCATTATTTTAAGGTAGTTACATATTAACACAAACAATATATTTTATGAAAAACAGCTGTATTTTTTCAAGAAGTGAGAAAAATGGTTTAGTTTTATAATTTTGCAAGTCCCTAGTTTACAGATTAATAGAAGATAGCAGGACTCTTGTGTCAGCATCTACATTCAGTCTGTTGCAATATGTTGTTTTGATTGAGAGTATGAAGAAAATACAGGCTTCCCAGTTGGCTCCGGGGCTGAAGAATCCACCTGCAATGCAGGAGACACAGGAGATGTGGGCTTGATCCATGAGTTGGGAAGATCCTCTAGAGGGGGGCAGTATTCTTGCCTGAAGAATCTCATGGACAGGTGAGCCTGGTGGGCTGCAGTCCATAGAATCACAGAGAGTTGGACATGACTGAAGTGACTGAGCATCTACACTTGAAGAAAATACAACCTTGCCATCATCAAAAAATCTGCAAATAATAAATGCTGGAGAGGGTGTAGAGAAAAAGGAACCCTACACTGTTGGGAATATAAATTGGTACAGCCACTATGGACAGCAGTATGAAAGTTCCTTAAAAAACTAAAAATAAAGCTACCATATGATCCTGCAATCCCATTCCTGGGTATATATTTAGAGAAAACATTAATTTGAAAAGCTACATTCACCCCAGTATCCATTGCAGCACTGTTTACAGTAACCAAGACATGGAAGCAACCTAAATGTCCATCAACAGATGAATGGATAAAGAAGATGTGATACATATATATTACATAATACAACAGAATTATTCAGCCATAAAAAGAATGAAATAATGGTGTTTGCAGGAATATGGATGGACCTAGATATTATCATACTAAGGGAAGTATGCAAGACAGAGAAAGACAAATATTATATGATATTGCTTATATGTGGAATTTTTTAAAAATTAATATAAATGAACTTATATACAAAACAGAAATAGATCCACAGATGTAGGAAACAAATTTGTGTTTACCAAAAAACGAGGGAGGGAGGAATAAATTTGAAGTTTGGAATTAACAGATACACACTACTACTATTTTATAAAATTAATAACCAACAAGGACCTAAGGATCAAGTTTACAGCACATGGCACTATACTCAATATTTTGTAATAATCTATAAGGGAAAAGAGTATAAAATAATGTATGTTTATATATGTAACTGAATCATTTTGCTATATACCTGAAACTAACACAACATTGTAAATCAACTATACCTCAATAAAATTTAAAAAAACTTAAAGTTTAAAAAAGAAAGAAAGTACAGCCTCATACAGATATCTGGTTGGGAAAGGAAAGTGTGTTTTAATAGACTCTTCAGATATTTGTGAATATTACACCAAAACTTGATAAGTGGTAGTTTCTTTAAGGTTTATAACAATGTAAATCTAAAACTTTTCATACTTTGTTACATTAAACTCTACTAGTCTGTTCTACACTCTGAATACATCTTTTACCCATGCATGCTTTATAACATCATGCACTGGTCACTTGGAAAATATTGGTTCACTAAGTTATGTAGATCTTCCAAATGTTGACACATTCCATTATATAATACAATAAAATCATGTAATATTACCCATCTATCTCATTGGGTAAGTCTTTTAGTACTAGGAAGCTTTCAAGCTCTCAGTGGTGGGTTCAAGTCTACCAAAACAATCATTTTCACTTCAAAGCTCAAATTTTGTCACTGGCAGCAAGTCCTTTCAGCTATTTTCTTGAAGAGACAGGCTCACTACATTCTTTTTCAAGAAAGTGTCGCCATACTGTATAACACAGGGAATTCTGCTCAGTGTTATGTGGTCTGAATGAGAGGGGAGTTTGGGGGAGAATGGGTACATGTATATGTTTGGCTGAGTCCCTTTGCTTTCCACCTGAAACTCTCACTTTATTAGTCGGGTCTCAATTAAAAAAAAAAAATGTTGCCACATATTCAAATCTGAATAAATGTAGTTTTTGTATTAATTGCTCTTTCAAGTTAAAATGGTGTTCTGTCAAAAAATATAAAACTTAATTGCGCTTGTGCTTTTCCTTCATGTAAGCATTGTATCTCTGTATACTGCAAGTACTTACTTCCCATTTTATCACACAGAATATTAAAAAGATTCAGGGGCCAAGATTTAATAATTTATACTGCTTCATCAAGGGCATTTTTGTGTGAATTGGCCTTTTTTTTGCCACCGTAATTGGACAGCAATGAGAGATGCTTGTACCACTTGGTGCTTTTCCCTGCTTTGTGCTCAGGAGCCGATAGCTTCACCCACTGTCACCTTTGCGTCAGCAGTGCAAATACCAGCCCAGTAGGAAAGACAGACAGCATCTTAGTGTTGCCGTGACAGTAGTTCTGACCTGCGGATCCCATAACATGGTGCAAATCACACGTTGAGAACCACTGGAGTAGTTTGGCTAGAAAGACTGGATGACTAGTTCTTGGTTTGATTTTAATTTTTTTTTTCCAGAATGTGTTTTTCTCTTGTCTCTAAGCTGTTTTAAATCTGTTTGAATTACAATTTCAAATTATTGAAGGGTTCAGCTATGTACTGATCAGTGGATACTATTAAAGTGTGTATATTTCATTTCTAGATTGTGGAATTTTTGTATAAAAGAACAGTTGATAAATGTTGTACTATTAATAATGAACTTACTACATTATTAACCTAGTCTTTCAATTTTGTGTTTGATTCCCTAAAATTCTCCACTTCAGTTGCAACCTCAAACCCAGGCAAGTGTCTGTCCTGCACAAACTCAACATTTACCTTCACCAACTGTAGGATATTACATCCCTCTGATATCACCCAGGTTACCCCCAGGTAAGAGGGGCTGGGCAGTTGGAGTCCTTATCTCTTTCTTCAAATATGTTTTACTAAATTTCTTTTTTTAATTACTGTCGTTTTAATTCCTAGAATTTTAATGTTCTGTGATAATTTGCCTTTAGAATATTTTCACATTGTATTTTCTCATTTGATGATTATAACTCTTTGAAGTAGACGAAGAGCGAGTATGTAGTGTCTAAATGAAGAAAGTGAAGCATAGAACGTTTGGGTGACTGGTTCAGGGATAGAGAGGTAGTAAATGACCCAGCTGAGCCTATACAGAGAATTAGCCAAACGAACAACTGGAGGACCTAGTTCTCCGTACAAGAGTGCCCTTGGTTCTGATGCCACCTGCAAGTTCAGGAGATTCCCGAAGCCATGCTCTTGTTTGACTGATATTCTAGAAGGACTCACAGAACTCTCTCAAAGCTCTCACGCACGTGGTTACTATTTATTACAGGGAAAGGTTACAGGATAAAATTAGCTGAAGGAAGAGACTCTGACAGGTCAGAGTCTGGGAAGACTATACACATGAAGCTTCTTTAGGATTCATTACTTTCCTGGAATTGGTGTTTGACAGTGCACACAGAGTACCGCCAACCAGGGGAGCTCACCCAAGCTTCAGGGTCCAGATTTTTCACTGAGGTTTCACCGTGTAAGGCATGATTGACTACCCATGTAGTTATACCTCACTATAAGTATAATAACTCACCTCCAGGTCCACTGACCCAAAGCTTCGACCCTGAATCACAGGGTTAGTTTTCCTGGCATGGCCAGTCCCCACCCTACAACTATAGGCTATGGCCAAGTCCACCCCAAGATCTAGCTAGTGTGGCCAGCCTCCTTCCTGAACAAACATACTTGTAGCAAACAAGGCATAGGTTACCTCCCAGAAGCTGAGGGCAAAGGCAGAAACCTCTGGGCAGTCCAAATCATGTACTACACAGGCTAGAACAATAAGCAGTATTGCTGCAGTTTCTATCCTACCAATTCCCGAAAGAATCTATGGTAGTTTGCAGAGATACCTAGAACATTGCAGGGATAATGTTAACTAGAAGTATAGAAGAATAATTATTAAAATAATTTTAAAATATTTAATTATTTAGAATAATTAAAATATTATGAAGAATTAAGTTTCTCCTTCAATGAACATCTTAGATTTAATTTTGAAAAATTGTATTTTCTAAAGGGTTGAAGAATTGTTTAACTGTGGGTTATCATCTTTTGGTGTATTTTGCTTTACAGAATGACTATATTAGTAAAAATTTCTAAAGTTTATTTTCTTCGGTATTTAAATTTCTTTGATTTTTTTAATCGTAAATTTTAGTTATATTTCCACAGGTAACATATTTTAGAGTTAAAATTTAAGAATAAGTTTATCTAAGAGTATAGTAAACTTTTTCATATTCTGTGACAATAAATATGTTTCAGTAAGTTAATGACTAAATTGCAAATAACTAATCTTTAAAGTAACACATCAGAATTTTCATTCCTCAGATACTGATGTGTTACTTGTTCCTCTACATTTGCTATGGTAACTGTAATTACCTTAAATGCTCACTTTGGATTACTTTTTATTCTTAAACACTCCCTCCTGCTTTTTTTTCTTTGTGAAGCTCGGGCTTCCCTTCCTTATCCTGTGGAAGCAGTGGTACCTGTTCATCAAACACGGTGGTGAGTTCTCCTGCCATGTCCTACAGGCTCAGCATTGGTGAATCTATCACTAACCGACGCGATTCCACCATAACTTTCAGCAGCACCATGAGCTTGGCCAAACTTCTACAGGAGCGAGGCATCTCCGCTAAAGTGTACCACAGCCCAATTTCAGAGAACCCCCTCCTCCAGCCTCTCCCTCGAGGCCTGTCTACCCCTTCCACACCACCAAATTCACCATCTCATTCCCCTTGCCCTTCTCCTTTGCCTGTGGAGCCTCGAGTGCATCTCTCTGAAAATTTTTTGGCCTCCCGACCAGCGGAAACATTCCTCCAAGAGATGTATGGCCTGAGGCCATCCCGAAACCCCCCTGATGTTGGCCAGTTGAAGATGAACTTAGTGGACAGGCTGAAGAGACTGGGGATAGCCAGAGTGATCAAGACCCCCAAGGCCCAGGCAGATGGAAGAAGCCAGGAGGCAGGAAATAGTCTTCAAAGACCAAACTCTGCTGTCTATTTAAATTCAGGGAGCAATTTACTGAGTGGACTTAGAAGGAATCAGAGTCTTCCAGTCATGATGGGTAGCTTCAGCACCCCAGTTTGCACATCATCCCCCAAAATGGATATCCTGAAGGAGCATTGAGGTTCAGCAGTTGACTGACCTCTTGTCAAGTTAGCACATGAAGGAACAATTTGCACTGATTATATGTAGTCTTGTCTGAGAGAAAAGGAATGTCGCAGAAGGGTTGTGAATGTAGAAAGGGGAGGGTGGAAGAATGGAAACAGGATTAGCATGAGGTCTGTCTGATTACTTGAAAGTATAGATGAATGGGCCATGAGTATTTGGAGGCAAGGGAAAGAAGGAAGGTTGAATGTAGTCCTTCAGTTGGTTTTTCTTGTGTTGAAAATAAAAAGTGACTAGAAAATAAATCCAGTAATATTGACACAGCAGAAATACTGAACTTCCTAGTACACTTACTTCTGGTGAGCGTAAGCAGGAAGGACCTAGGTTAGGAGATGGGATAGAAGAAGGAGCAGCTCAGACCACTGCCTTTAGAAAGCTATTCCAGAAGGTTACTGGGGTAAACTCGGTCTGTTACTGAGACGACAGTGATATGGCTTTTATGTTGGCCCCTGTTAATGTCTGATTAAATTACACATCCATCAGAAAGTAAGCTCACTGCATTATCAAACAAGGAATTTCACCTTTTTCATAAGATCAGAGTAGTGGAGACTCCCTTTTTGCTTTCTGTTTTCAGGCCTTTGAACCCCTGGGAGCCCAAATGTCATCCACATTCCTTTTTCATTTGTGATTAATAAGTGTTCAGTTTTTTAATTTGTATTTTTATACAGTATCCCCCTCAAACAGTGTAAGTTGGGGATGGGGGTAGGGAGGATTTATTTTAAGAAGGGAAGTGTGGGTACATTGGAACCAAGGAATCTCGTTTTCAGAGTATTTCTTCTGAATAAAAGCAATGACCAAGGTGTATGAACATAGTTACATGTCTTTCAAATTTCCTTGGAGGCTGGAAGGGTTAAACCAGAAGTGCAATCAGTAGGAATTTGAGAATGTTGTGTATTTATGTCTGTAAGGTTTTTTGTAAGGAAGGTTGATTGCAAGTAAACTTTTTCCAAAATATGCTATGCATGTTTTAAATGAAGGATGACATGTATTTGCACAAAAATTCTCAGGCACAGTCTATTATTATAAACTGAAGTAAAACCCAGGTGCTTGCTTTGAGATTGTTTTTTAATATAAAATAAAATTAAGATACATTTGCCTTTTTCTTGATATCTGTAGAATTAGAGAATGAACTTTTTAATGGGAAAGTCAAAGCTTTTGTTCTTTCTCTGGGACTCTGTTTTTAACTATGTGACCTAGCAAAGTGAAACTTGGGATCAGGTTTCAGCTTCCAGTAGTGTGATGCAAGGCTGTGAATTAGGAAGAAACAGACCTGTTTTTTGAGTATTGCTGACCAACGTCTTTATTTCAGCCATGCAGTTCAGAAAGAATGCCATCACACAAAAGGCATAATGGAGAGAAGCTAGAAGGGGGCTAGTTATTTTTGAAAAGGGGAGGCGTATTACTTGATCTTTTCAGTGTTTCATTAGCAGATGTTTGGCCCCTTTGTTCTGACTTAAAGTGAAAGGCCGTTTTCTGAAGAATTCTTGATGGGAGTGTTGCTCCTGGGGCTCCCATCTGCACGCCTGTTACAGACCAGAGGGGGGCCTTCTCTTCTCGAGCTGCTTCATGTGCTCAAGACACACATGCAGTAGTAAAATGTGTGAGTTTTCTGTGCTTTTTAAAGATCTTTTAAATTGACTTTTCTAAGTAAATTTCTCAAAAACAAAAAGTGAGAGTGTCCTCTCCCTATTCTCTCCCCCTTGCTCAGTCCTTCTGAAGTCAGAAGACTGTATATGTAGATGTTCAGAAAGGATACCAGCTGGTATGTAAGTGAATGTCAGTGTCCCAAATGTGAACCAGAAGAATTCCTGATGTTTCAATTTCTAAAATATTCCCCTTTTAAATGGTAATATTTGAGTTTCTACTTCATAAAGTGACTCTGGGGTGCTTATTTCAGACAATTCTTTAAGCTTTTTATTTATTCTCTAAGAAAGTAGTCCTTCTATTGCCAGTTGCCGAGAAACATCAGGATCTAGGAAAATGTAGGGCCAGAGAGTAGTACAAAGTGTTAAATTATCAGAGTTTATGTATATTATATAAACAGCTATAAATTAAGCAAGATTTGGGCATGTTGTGTATAATTAGTATACTTGTAAAATAACTGATGCTATAATGATCGCTTTAGAGGCAGGGCAAGAGTGTATTCACAGCCAAATAAGCCCATCTGATTAAAGAAAAGCAGACTTTGGTTTTTGAAAATTAAACTGATGCTGCTGTTCCACCAGAAACACGAGGATTAAAAACTGATGCTTGCTTGTCTCTAGAAATGAATCCTGTTTTGAAATTGGGTTTTGTTATTTTTTAAATTTCCATCTAAAATCATTTTTGAATACTGCCTGAGACTCTGTATTATAATGAAATAGCGTGTAAAGGACAGTAAGAACTGGAGCCTTGTAGCAAGTTCTTTCTTTCTTTATTTGTTATGCTTTAGCACTGTTCACATTTTAATTTTCCTGTACCCACTGTGTAGGTACTTTAATTCCAGTTTGGAAAACGCCAGTCTTTCTTTTTTCTTCTGAAGGTTCTCAATGATTATACCTCAGGTATTTCTGAGTATCCTGTTGCCTACTAGGAGGGATACCTTCCCTGTGAACTCAGAATTAAAAGTTCTCCAGAATTATCATGGTTCCAAATCTTATGTAAATAGCTTTACCCATGGGTCTTGGAAAAAAAGTTAATGACCATTGTTAAAGTAGTTTTTAAAAAAAATTTTGTACTCTATGTCCTTGATTTGACCTGAATAAACAGACTTTGACAAAGGGAGGCATGTTATCGGCAGCTCACAAGAGCCTGTTCTCTAGAAAAGGTGTATTTTTATACAGTATTCAAAGCCTGTTATTTTTTTCTGGTACTTAATTAGTACTTGTTGTTCAAACATTGACTCTTGACATCTGGAACCAGGGCTCTTGGTGTTCAGTGGCCCACTCCCCTGATAGCGGATGCCTGCATCCTGTACAGGCATGAGCCTGGATCCTGAGCGCATCACAGCAGGGTTGGCGAGGAGTGGCTGCTTTGCCTTCACGGCTCTCCGGGAGTGAGTGGTGTGGGGCCCGTGGTGGCTGCCAGCGAGATACTGTAGTGTGATATCTGGGGCTTGACTTGGTCAAACAGCTCTTTGTGCACCTACCTTTGCTTTGTCGAATGTAAATCAGATAATAAACATGAGTATCTTCTTAAATTTTCCTTTGTCTTTCTGTGGTTTTGTCCCAGTTCTTTTCACAGATAATCCTGCATTAAGTCTTTCCTTTCTGTTATGTTGTTTTGGGTACAGAGAACAAGCTCTATTAGCCAAACCAACGATAGTCATGAGTGGTAAACAGATATTACTGTATTTTCTTAGATTTTTTAAAATATAATAACCATATTGTTTCCTCAGCAAAGCATCAGCAACAGAAAAATAAAACCTAAAGTTGTTGATATGTAGATCCTTAATTTGAAAAGACTCAGGAAGTATGAAGCAATTCATTTCTGATGGTCCACAACTGACTAGTGATACTTAACTATTTAGAAACTGTTTCCAAGAAATTAAATTTGAAAATTGTTGGATTTTTAATAGAAAAGATTCTTTGATGTTCTTTTTTCTCTGTCACATTTTAACTGCTGTATTTTTTTAAAGCTCATATGAGCATTTTGTGAGAAATGAGTCTCCACTTCTTTGATAGATAACTTAGTGATGTTCCAAGCATCTTTGATTGTGTTTTCTTTCACAAATGACTATCAGTGGATGTGTTTGAAGTTCAAAAACCTGATGAACTAAGGCTAAAGATTTGAGGCTTTCAGCATTCTGTTGCCTTTCGTTTCTGTTTTTATTATATGTTTGAGTTATGCTAGTATTGGTTTTTCTTTTTTCTTTTTTTCATTCGTTTTTATGAAGTAAGGCTAAAATACCAAAAAAATGTTGGGCAGGTTTGCCAAAGATGCCAAAACACAGCTGTCAGGCATGAAGTGTTTTATTCTTCAGCATAAGGAAGTGTGAGTGAAGCACATCAAAGGTAATGTGAGAAGTTAGAGAAAAAAGTATAAATGTCAAATATGTTTAAAAGTTTAATTCAGTTAAATTTAATTTTTTTTACCTTCTCAGCAAAATTGTTTAAAAGCAAGAATTTCACATCATATTCAAGCAGTACAATGGGCCAGAAAATTACAAAGTATTTTGATTTCATTTAATTCACTACCACTTTTGCAGCTATTTCACCATCTCTCAAAGCAACCACAAAATTCATACACTAATGTGAACAATTCGCACCATGATTCATTTGCATTCCATTTAGACCTTTATACATAAATATATTTACAGATAATTGGGACACATACTGCAAAATGCCCTTCAGCCACAATATGTAGTTCTTGCCAAGTACCACTCCAATATATGAGCACCTGTGGAATTACAAGTGAAAACATGAAGCAAAAATGAATGCTCAGAGTCACTGGGAAACAGTATCTCGTTATGGGTGAATCCAAGCATTCAAACTTTCTAAGAGTTTTTTAACAAGTTCCCTTTCCTCTCACCTCACTGCTCTTGCCCCAGTCCTTTCTGCATTCCAAAGCAGGGTCTCTGGCCTTAGCAGCAGAACAACCCAGAAATATTTATAACATGTGGTCACAGGCATCTTTTGTTCTGAAGATAAAGGGCAAGAGATGGCTAGAAGCGTTCCGCTGGGTCCTGATGTTGTTTATGATGAGAGTGGATGTTGAGGGTTGCAGGTCCCACTATCCCGAAACTGAGTTCAGGATCAAGTGCCCATGTGCCCTTTAACAAAGTTAGGTGTTTATCTTGCCTGTGATATACAAAGCCCTCTGAAGTCCAGGGCTCAGGGCTGCGGCCTGCCTATCTAGGTGTGAGGGTAGCTCTGTAGGCTTGTGCCTGATTCCTGTGGCTCCCTGCCTAGGGGCCATTCGGAAACTATTGAAGGAGTCTCTGGGATTTAGCTTGGCACCCTTCATCTTGAAAGACAAGG